CAGCTGAAACAGGCCGGGGGACCCCCAGATACCCCCAAATACCCCAGGGGACCCCCAGATACCCCACAGGGACCCCAAATACCCCAAGTAACCCAAAATAACCATAAAGTGACATCAAAGTGACCAATATTACCCCAAAAAGACCCAAATTAAGCCCAAAGTGACCCTAAATGAACCCAAAGTGACCCTAAATTACCCTAAAGGGACCCTAAATACCCCACAGGGACCCCAGGGGACCCCCAGATACCCCAAAGAAACCCCCAGATACCCCAGAGGGACCAAAAATAACCATAAAGTGACATCAAAGTGCCCCAAATTAGCCCAAAGTGATCCAAAAGGGTCCCTAAATTATCCCAGAGGGACCCCAAATACCCCACAGTGACCCCCAAATACCCCAGAGTCACCCCCAAATACCCCACAGGGACCCTAAATACTCCACAGGGACCCCAGGGGACCCCCAGATACCCCAGGGGACCCCCAGATACCCCAGAGTCACCCCTAAATACCCCAGAGGGACCCCAGGGGACCCTAAAGTGACCCCAAATTACCTCAAAGTAACCCAAATTAGCCCAAAGTGATCCAAAAGGGTCCCTAAATTATCCCAAGTGACCCAAAAGGGATCCCCAAATACCCCAGAGTCACCCCCAAATACCCCAGAGGGACCCCAAAGGGACCCTAAAGTGACCCCAAGTTATCCCAAGTAACCCTAAATAACGATAAAGTTACATCAAAGTGACCCAAATTACCTTCAAGTGACCCAAATTACCCCAAAGTTACTCTAAATAACCCCTAAATTACCTTAAAGTGACACCAAAGTGACCCCTAATTAACCCAGTGACCCTAAATACCCCACAGGGACCCCAAAGGTTCCCTAAAGTGACCCCAAATTACTTCAAAGTAACCCAAATTAGCCCAAAGTGATCCAAAAGGGTCCCTAAATTACCCTAAAGTGACCCCAAAAACCCCCAAATACCCCAGGGGACCCCCAGATACCCCAAAGAAACCCCCAAATACCCCAGGGGACCCCCAGATACCCCAAAGAAACCCCCAAATACCCCAGAAGGACCAAAAATAACCATAAAGTGACATCAAAGTGCCCCAAATTAGCCCAAAGTGACCATAAACTACTCCAAAGTGACCCTAAATTACCGTAAAGTGACCCCAAAAACCCCCAAATACCCCAGGGGACCCCCAAATACCCCAAAGAAACCCCCAAATACCCCAGAGGAACCCAAAATAACCATAAAGTGACATCAAAGTGCCCCAAATTAGCCCAAAGTGACCATAAACTACTCCAAAGTGACCCTAAATTACCGTAAAGTGACCCCAAA